ACAGTCCTCCAGTAACATTTGTAAGACAGTGAAGAACTTAATAGTACTGACACAAATCAGACACACTGACCATTGGAACAGCATAGAGACCCCAAAATAAACCTAGGCATTATTGTTACTTGATTTTTTAACAAAGGTGCCGTAAGTATATAATGGAGAAAGGATGGTCTCTTCAACAAATGGTGTTGGACAAAATGGATATTTACAATCAGAAAAATAAAAGTAGACCCTTTTTTATACCATATACAAAAGTCAACTCAAAATATATTACATATTTAAATGTTAGACCTGAAATTATAAAACTACTAGAAGAAAATATAGATAGAGGAAGTACTCTATGACGTTGTTTCTGGGCAAAGATTTCTTGGATATGACTTCAAAAGCACAGGCAACATAAACAAATGAGATTGCATAGAACTAAAAAGCTTCTGCACATAAAACAATTAATCGAGTGAAGAAATAACCCATAGTTTGGGAGAAAATATTTGTGAAGTATATATCTGATAAGGGGCTATTATCTAAAATATATAAGAAACAATTCAATAATAGGAAAAAACAAATACCCTAATCAAAAAATGAAAAACAAATACCCTAATCAGAAAATGAGCAAAGAATCTAACTAGACACTTCTTAAAGAAGACACGCAAATGGCCAACAGATATGTGAAAAAATACTCAACATCACTAATCACTGGGAAAATGCAAATTAAAACTACAATGAGATATTACCTCACACCTATTAGAATAGCTATTATCAAAAAGACAAAAAAAAAGTATTGGCAAAGTCATGGAGAAAAGGGAACGCTTGTGTGTTGTTGGTGGGCATGTAAATTGATATAACTATTATGGAAAACAGAATAGAGGTTCCTCAGAAGACTAAAAATAAATCAATTACTATATGATCCAGCAATCCCGCTTCTGGGTTTCAATCCAAAAGAATTGAAAGCAGTACACCAAAGAGGTATCTGCACTCCTGTGCTCACTGTAGCATTATTCACAATAGCTCAGAATTAGAAGGAACCTGGGTGTTCATCATCAGATGAGTGGATAAAGAAAACATGATATATGTACATGGTGCAATACCTTTGCTCATTTTTTGATTGGGGTGCTTTTTTTTTCTTTCTCTTGAGTTGTTTGAGTTTCTTATATATTTTAGATATTAGCCCCTTAACAGATGGTTTTATTCAGCCTTAAAAAAAAGTGGGAAATCCTCATTTGCAATAGCATGGATGAACCTGGAGGACATTATGCTAAATGAAATAAGCCAGGCACAGAAAGACAAATACCACATGATCTCACTTATATGTGGAATCTAAGAAATTTGAACTCATAGAAGTAGAGAATAGAATAGTGGTGATCAGAGGCTGGGGGAGGGGATGGATGGAAAACTAAGAGATGTTGATCAATGGATAAAAAATTTCTATTAGACAAGAGGAATAGGCTTTGGTAATCTATTGCATAGAATGGTGACTACCACAAACAATAATGTATTTTACTGGGTGACAGAGCAAGACTGTCACAAAAAATGTATTTTAAATTTCAAAATTGTTAGAAGAATAGGTGTTAAATGTTTTCACCACAAAATGTGCTAAGTATGTGAGATGATTGATTTGTTAATTAGCCCGATTTAACCATTCTTTATTGTAAACATATATTAAAACATAACGTTGTATCTGATAAATATAAACAAATGTCTTTCAATTTAAAAAGAACTTAATTTAATTACAAGCCTCATAATTGTTATGAGTTAAATAGAAAGACATGATGAAGAGCAAATATAAAGCTGATGGGGACTTCCTTAAGTAGGATAGCTTGAAGAAAGCTCATTTGGAGCTGAAACTCAGAGAATAAAAATGAATCTGGAGAAAACACAATTAAGGCCATGGGTCCAGCCAGAAGAACAAGGAAACTTGAAGATGTGCTTGAAATGTTAGGGCAGTGGTTCAGGAATATAAGCAGGCATCCGACCCACCTGGCGGGCTCGTTACAACTCAAATTCCTCAGTTCTGCCCCCAATCGGTAGGTCTGGGTGGGGTCTTAAAGTGCGCTTTCCTCAGAAGCTTCCAGGAGATACAGATCCTGCTGGTGTGGGAGCAACACTGTGAGAATCATTGTGTTAGAGTGGAACTAAAAGCAGGGGAAGAGGGCTGTAGCACTGTGAGCTAGGGACATGTGATAACAAATGAGGCTGGGGGAGGAGGCAGGGGCTATTAAGAGCTCAGTCTTGAAAGGAGGTTCAAGGTTAGTTCCAGACTGATGAGAAGTTGAAAATTCTATTAAGTCTTTACTGACAATATTGTTATTCTTGGATGTTACAATGTAGTCAGTCTTCCAGTACTATTGCATTCTGCGTGGCATTTGCGCCTTAATGCAAGTGAAGCAAATTCAGTGAAATTGATAAATAACCTATAACCCTCTCCCCCTGTATTTGATCCCTGATGAACTTTTGACAAATTGAAAAGACTGCTCACTTTGCAGAGTGCAGACGTGTTCCTCCACTCAGGTTCTGGAAGTATGAGACATAGCAAATCAAAGGTGGTCACAATTCAAATCACCCCAACATTTACGGAAACACTGTTTCTGCATCTGCACAGTAGACTTAGTGCCACAAGGACCTAACCAGAGAATATTACTTGATTTCTAACAGCAAGCAGATTTCAAGCTTTTGATGATAAAATAGTAAAAACGTAAAGCAATTAGAGGATTATATAAGCAGAAGACAGTGCAATATATAATAAAGTGCTAAGTTGAATATTATGTGCAAAAATAAATGATGCAGATAATAATTGCTCTAGACACAAGGAAGTCAGAGAATTATTGTTTGAAGTTATTGACTAATGTTTCATTTGAAGAAGGCATTGAGGCTGGTCCTTAGAAAATGTTTAAAATTTGGCAGCTAGAGGGAAGGCGAAAGACATGGAAAAGCCGTTGTCTTTAGATTGAATCAATATTCAAAGAATTATTGTGTTTTCCCAGAGTTTTTGCTGTTTTGCTGCCTTTTACAGTGAAACCTTCCATGTGTTTCTGATTCTTGAGTACAATTGAATTACTAGCCAATTGTCTGGTGAGAGCTGTTGGCCAGGGAGCCCCTGTGGACTTCTCAGAAGCTTTTATCCTTTGAAAGAAGCTGTCCTGATTTACCATTGTTAATAAAACTTGTATAACACAATGCTCGAGTTTAAGACCCACTGAGAACATGACCACGTACCTCCTTTTATCTCTACATGGGGGAGCCACATGGCCAATAGGAGCTGCAGAAACCCAGCAGCCGTGCTATAACCCAGTGTTAGTAATTGTTATGAACTTCCTTATGTCATGTCCTAATAGCATTGTCTTATGAGTGATGGCCTGTCCTGCTTCCAGCCTTCATGAATAAATACAAAATGTCTTGCCACCCAGAAGACGAAGCCTTTGTGGTCGTGCCTCTCTTTTGAACATGCATCTTTAGGACCCTGTGTTCTTTCATTTCAATATTCTTGCTTTTGTGAGGCTTAGGTTCGAAATTGTGAAATATGCTGCTATTGCAATGGTTCTACGTTTTACCCTGTCAAGTGCTTTTAAGCATTAGTTCCTGATTAATACATTCGGTGAGTCAAAGGGCTCATCCCTTTGCTGAGATTCTCTGGGAAATTCATGGAGTTTTCCTGAATATTAAGATATTTCCTGTTAGTTCAGATAATCCCGAAGGTATGGATTTATCTTTAATCCGAAAGTTAAGGCAGAAAATATCAGTAAAACAGAGAGAATGGTTGAAAAGAATGCCAGGCTGACCTAAAGGGAGAGCTTAATGGCAGTCTGTAAAAGAGAGATCATCAAAATATTATTAATTCCCCCTCATATCAGTAAAAGATTTTGAGAATACCTTCAAAATAGGTAGACTTATTTATGTTATAGACATGAATAGTATTCTTGTATATTATTAGCATATGAAAGACGCACAGAAATAGAAATAATTTGGAATTAATTAAAAGAAACACAACTTCTAATATTTTCTTTCTGTATCACAAATGACTCTCTTTCGCATGCTCCTGTGCATGCGCACTTCATTTAAGAGAATCCATTTTTAGACTACCCAGAGCAGCAATGTGCTGCGGTGCAATGGCTCTCAAACTTTAGACTGCATTAGAATGTCCTGTAAAACAGGTTTATGCCTCTCCCCAAAAGTTTATAATTCAGTGGGTCTGGGGTGAGCTCCCAGCACTCACATTCCCAGGTGGTGGTGGTCTGAGAACTACACGTTGAGAACCACTGATACTCAAGAGCATGGGTCTTAGAGTTAGTTTACCTAAGTCAGACATCAGCATCCTTCTCTTACCAAATGTATGACCTTGAGTAACTTATTGTGCCTTTTTGAGCTCAGTTTCTTAAAACCTGTAAAGTGGAGGTAATTGTAATTACTTACTGCTTAGAGTACCTGGAGAACTCAGTGAGGTAATGTAAACACATCGCTTAGCACTCAGTATTGTCTCCTACAAACATCAATCCATGGTGGCTGCTACATCTTCCTCCTTCTCCTTCTCTTCCTTCTCTTCATCATTATCAATGTCATTAAACATCTTTTATGTCACAAAGTAGACATAGGGACTTTTGGTTTCAGGATTAAAAAAACATTGTACCTTAATTTATAAGGATCATGGGAATGATTTTTGTTTTGCATTAGCATTCTACATAAAAAAGGCTATAACCCAAATGAGATATCTTTCTACTTGAATGGTAAAGATGAAGCTATTTTGCAAAGTCAACCCAAAGGAGAACAGTGTGTTCAGCCCTCTCCCTTCTGTGTGTAACTGTTGATAGTTTGTGGCTAAGTGTGTATTTCTGTCATCTTTTGTATATACTGACTTTTTGTTGCATGAGATTGAGTTGACAATTTTGGTGATGTGTCTTTGAATGTTTGGGGGCATGAGAATGGTAAATTCAGGTGATTTCTTTGACTAATATTTAATATTTCTTCCCTCTCTCCTTTTTCCTCCCCCCCCCCACCTTCTTGTGCATTGCTAGGACCCAGTACCACTTGCCAGGAAGATTCATGTGCCAACCAGGGGGTCTGCATGCAGCAATGGGAGGGCTTCACCTGTGATTGTTCTATGACCTCTTATTCAGGAAACCAGTGCAATGATCGTAAGTACAACAAACTCTCATACTGGAATTGTGCAAGATGTTGGAGATTTGGAGACTCTTAAGGGAAAGTATATAAAAGGATGGCTCTTCTGAAAGATTCATAAGTAATTCTCTCCTCCAGGAACTTGGAAAATGAATGACTAGTGCTCTTATGAGAAGAGCGAAGAGATGTGTCTTGCTTAACAACACTAAATATTCTCCCACTTGCTTGCTTCCCGTGTTTTTTTATTTAGATTAGAATAGCAACTGAGAAACAATAACAGTACCAAAACCAATTCAGGCAGTATTTTTGTGGTAAGGGGTTCAGTTCTTCATGAATTAAATCACTTTATCTTAGTGAATTTAACTTCCAATTGGTTAATAATTTTGCGACTCTCTTGTGTTGCATTGTCTAGAATTTTGAGGATATTTAAAAGGGATAGCTGTTTTCTCAAAAAGTTTGAGTTTTCTGAATTTGTTAGGCCTTGCAAATGACAAAGACATTCAAGAGTTTATTTTTTTACAATTAGCAAAGCTTAAACATTCTTGGGCATATTTCAGGTATAGGGCAGAGATTCTCTCTTACTAAATATATGGATCTCTGGTTGGTATATATACCCATAGCTATTCTGTATGTATTGTGTGCATATATGTGTGTATTTCCTATTTTGTGAGTATATCTTATATGTATATATTGTATATTTGGTTTTTGAGAGTCTTGTGATTGTTAATTGTGTCTAGTAGTGATGCTTTTGGCTCATGGGTTTAGTTCTAATACAGGACTGACTTCATGAAGATGATTCTAGCACTGATGGTGGAGACATTTCAATGCTGTGGGCATCTGTAACTTGTGTCTCCACTTTGCTCTCATGTTATTTTCTTGATGTTGAAATTTCTGAATACATGTGGCAAAGAGATTTGTTAAAAATCCCTGCTAACCTTTCTAAATGCAGCCTTTCTTTTATAATCCAGACTCATCTGACCTCTTGGTTTTGGAAAAATGATGCATGACATTATCTGAGAAAATAGTAAAGTCACATTATGGTGCAACCATGTGGAAGCAGATGCCAATTACAATGCTCTGCCCCCCAGGTCTATGTGGTTTTCCTTGATTCCTTATTTCTCAACTTTTTATATGTGTAGAGTTGTCTGTTGTTCTTTTTCCCATTTTTCTCAGTCGTTTTGGCTCCATATGCTATTTCATTCTCTTAAGTACACTGAGGAGAAACAAGTGGAGAAGTTGGCAATATAGAGAGGAAGTTATGTAATACCCATTCATCCAATTACATAAACATATGCCTCTGTCTCTGTCATGTGAATATGATGTCTGCAGAAAGTTTGGGCCTAAGATTGCTCTTACCAAGTCTTTTGGTATTACTGAAAGTCATGTTTCCATATTTATGATTTGGAAATACTCTTTCACTCTGAAACAGGTAGTTATAAACCCAGCCAGAGAACCTGAGAAATTGTACTACATGCCATTTTTTTCCCTCCAATTTGTCTGTATAGCACTCGCTAGAAAGGCTTTTTTCTCTAAGTGGTGGCATAATGCTTCTTTATCCTCACAAATTTATTTCTTGTCACACATACATCCCACTCTGGGTAGAAAATGGTCAGGAAGATACTCTCTACACAGAAAAGGTATAAAGGTAAGTTTTCCTAACTGGCGTGAATATGCACGATCTTCAGAAGGTATGTATGTCTTTCTCTATCTTTGACAAGTTCCTGTCTGTCACCCAGTGCCAGGCATTATTTTCTGGCAAAAATCATGATGGATTCTTTATAGCTTTCTGCAGTTTTATCAAGAGCAGATTGTGTCTCAGTCTGAGATGGGGAGTATCACATTGTCTGACTTGGGCAATTTGTTGGGATATAATGAAACACTGGGACTTAAATTGGGAAAATTACAGCTTTTGTTTGTGGTAAGAGCTTCTCATAGTTCAAAAATATTTCTAATAAATCTAGGTTGAAGGCAATACATTTTTTGTTGTTGTTGAGACAGAGTCTCTGTCACCAGGCTGGAGTGCAGTGGCACAATCTTGGCTCACAGCAACTTCGCAACCTCTGACTCCCTGGTTCAAGTGAGTCTCCTGCTTCAGGCTCCCGAGTAGCTGGGATTACAGGCATGCACCACTACGTCCAACTAATTATTTTTATTTTTAAGTAGAGATGGGGTTTCACCATGTTGGCCAGCATGGTCTTGATCTCCTAACCTCATGATCCACCTGCCTCAGCCTCCCGAAGTGCTGGGATTGCAGGTGTGAGCCACTGTGCACGGCCATACATTTTGAATTTTATTCTGTAACAATGCAGTTGTACCTTTTTGTTGTAGTGAACTTGGGAACCTGAGTTTCTAACAGAAGCCTAGTCCCCCACCTGGAGATTGGACAAAGGCTTCTGTGATTGGATAGACATATGGAAATGATGAAGTGTACATCTTAATTGTGGAATGTGATAAATATAGAGAGTTAAGACATATAGGATGTGACTGTAAAGTTTGATGATAAACTTTTAATGAAACCCAACCAAATATAGCAGAATGGTAGGTTGCTTAAAATTATTATATAGGTGTTTCTGTTTCTAGTAATTGGTATTCAAGGTATTTGGAAGACCTTCCCTTTTGGAACTAGAATCAAAGCCAGTATGTTCTACCTAGGAAAAAACAGTCTCAAAAATTATAGGGCATTATTTTCTATATCAGCCTTGACCTTTAGAGTTATGATTGGTTATTTCTTTAACAAACATCTTCAAAATGAAGTTACCTATATGATATTCTGTGTGCTTACCTTTGTTGATAAATTTTTGGGGGGTGTAGCCTGTACATTAATGTAATGGTAACATTAGTCAAGTGTTAATCTTCATTGTCACCAGCAGACTTGAGCCAATAGGCTCATGCTTATCATTAGCAAAAGTGGTGGGGGAAATTACAAAGAAAGAAGAGATAAATTCATGGAGGAGGAAGAATGATAATGAGAAGGAATATAGTGGAAATCAGAGAGTGGTTCTTATATGGAAGAGCACTGAGGTCATTAGCAATTGCTTTGGTAACATGCCTGCCACAAGTGACCTGTCTTTGACCTAAATAACAGAAATGGGTCATGGCATTAAAAGTGTAATGCCATCAAGGAAACCTGGCCTTTACCTAATTAATTCCTGCAAAGAGAATGTTCTATAGAATGTTGCATATATCTCAAGTAAATTTTATCCATTTAAATGCTATCATAGGATATGCAAATAGGTTAGAGATGAAATTTAATTGCAAAAGGCATTTTGTAGGGGAAAAGGAAGGTTATGGATATCTCATTTTCCAGGAGCTGTTTCTCAGGGCAACAGATTGATCCTCAATTAATGAACATGAAAACACCTCAGTTTATTACTTCGTATCCAAAGACTGAAATTTATTCAACAGGGAAATAGCTAGGTCTTACATTTTCCAAAATAAGTTACTTAATTCATCATGTGTAACATAGTTAATTATATCTAGGCATGACTTGTAAGGCTCTAAAAATGTCTGTATTTTAGGGTATTCCTTTTTTTAGCATTTGCTCTTTTACTTATGACCTTTGTATTTTTCTTGCCTATTTACCAAATATGTTTGCCTGACAATTTTAATATGCTGTTACCTAGATGTTGCCTCCATAACTAGAGCATACATTTTAAAACTTAGTATACTCTGTTAGTGTGAGTAGACCAAGCCTGGATTTTTCACTTTATTTATTTATTCTTTGTGAGAATCTGGTGGGTTGATGGAGGCAGTGGGGTGAATTTCAGTATCAATCTTATAGCTATGCAAAGCCGATATTCTTTAGAGCTGATTGTCTTGTATAAGAGTGACTCGTATGGGGTTAGGAAACAAAAATCCTGATTGGAAATCCAAGTGTAATTGATTTGCTAATTGTCTTACATAGTTTTAGATATGACCTTCCACAATTTTATGTAATGGTAAAGTCATGGGGATTTTCTTTTACATTGGCTTTTAGGGCTGTTTTGATTCTGCAATCTAATCATCCCAGAAGAAATTTTGAGTTAATGTAGAAATCAGGACGATCTATGGGAGAATATATAAGTAACATCCTCCAAGATAACTTTCAGTTCTTGTGAAACATTTATAATTGAAGGAGTTGGCTATTCAGAGGGTGAGCACCACCTGAAAATCGACTTAATGAAAGCTGTCTTGGGCTACATTTTAGGAACAGCAAAAGAAATGGAACCTTCCAAATGGCCTTATAGGGATATTCTTTTTTGATACTGGGTTCTTATTAGTATTTTAAATCAGGACTGAGAGCCTGGGAAATTCTAGCACGTTGTAGCCATTGCAGCACCCAGGCAAATCCAGAATCTCCTTCCCGTCTTATGTGGTCATGCCACTGTCATTGTCAGCCTGCTGTTGAGTGCTTCTCTCTTTCATAACATCAAAAAATGTGTAGAATAGAACCCTCCTTCATGCACTCACACGTGTACAGAAGGGTTGTCATTTTTATGGACTTTATGAAAATAGCAGTTTTAAACGTCTCATACCTAACCTTAACAACATTGTTGCCTTTTATCATGTACATGACAATTGAGTGGCATATGATTTGGGGGTCTGGTTGTTGCTTCTTGTGCCCTGGAGAAGCACATATAGGACTGTCTTTGGCACATGAGTCCTTAACACACATCAAGTTCCTGGGTTTAGGAAGTGGGTGCTCATCATGGCTTTGTGGGGTGAAGCAAAGGGAATGAACATGGGTCCTCAGCCCACCCTCAGGAGCCAGCAACCCTGTGCTATACTGCTCGTCATACATTGTGGACTGCCTGTTGGAGAAATTGCTAGGTTCACAGTGGCATGTGATAATAGATGTTCTTTGCTTGCAACAAATCAATAGCAGGCAGCTGTGGGTCGTGCAGATAGTGGAGTTTAAAGCGCCTTTTTCAGACAGTTTTCTGCAGAAGTGGCTGTTAAGCTGCAGTGTTGGCTATTGATTGGCCTTTTGCTTTTTATTTGTTGTGTGGGTTTATTTATGCTTTTAATGTAGGTTAGT